TTGCGATTGGTCGGCTCCGTGTGTTTATATGTATCGCAAAACAAATGTGTACATCAGTGCGGCATGATTAATGACTTGCTTCGAGTTTAACTCGAGCATGTTTGCTTTATTAATTTAAAATTGAATCGAAGGCGGTAGAAAGATGCCGTTAGTTATACATGGTATTTGGAAATCTGCTAAGATAAAGCTCTGCAGAGAATTTGCACAGAAAATTCTGTAAGGATAGGTTGTATGGCCGCCTAAACAGAACCTGGGAATAGGAACACTCGCCTACTTAGAATAGACGGCCTTACGATACATTTAAGTACGGGGAAATATTCCCGTGTTTTAACCTTACACGAACTCTACCATAAAACTAAACTGTAACCTTAAGCTTATCCCTAAACCCTAACCCTACAGTTAATATGAACCCAAACTTTAACCCTTAGCATAATTCTGACCCTAACTCAAACTCCAACCCTAGCTGTAATCTTAAAGTTAGTCCTAAACCTCACCTTAATCCTAAAAATAATTCCTCTGGAATTTCATGCATAGCTACACGTATTGTGGTCGGTTCCTGTTGCCGAGTCCTGTTTAAGTGGCCATTTTTTACAAGAAAGCACCGCCAGACACATGTTGTAACAGTGTCAGAAGCTCTGGACATATTTGAAGTCATTAAGGAGACATTTTGTTTACATGCACATCAACTGGGAAAACCATAAAGCAGGAAAAAAGACAAATTATAACAAGCGTCAAGGATCAGCAGTTCTGTTCCCTCTTTTAGGACAAACAAACACAATTTTATGATTATTTGTTTATTTCCTATGCAAAACGGATCCTCGTCTGTAATAACCGAAAAAACGCTCATTGTTTGTCACTTAATGCGCCAGTGTCACATCGATTTACCCTCATAAGAGCTTACTATTCTTCCGACGATTCTGCAATCACTTGTCCTCTTTCAATGGCGTTTTATAGTCACATGCCAAGTCTACCTGCGACAATAACGAGGAGCTTGAAACAGAAGTTCATAGGTTTTAACCTCCAAAGACACTATTATACAAAAATGGACTTAGTATTGGGTTCGGAAAATGCCGAGGATTATTAAGATAATTATACTGCTGGATGAAACTTCCTAAAATGCCTGTCCTTGCTTGACGTTTAATATACAAAGCACAAGGAACTGCTTGGTTACCCGAATCTTTCCTAAATGTGCTCCCTGGTGCGTCTATCAATCTTAAAGTCTTTCTCCACCGACTCATTTATTGTCCGTTCTGTTTGTGAACTGCATATAAGGTGTGAATAAATCGCTCGAAAGCGATATTCTGCCAACTCTTATAAGCACGCTTACAGAGTTTCGACACAACATGTCACGATCACTTCGACGATGTTTGTTTATGCGAAGAAACTACCAGTGTGATAAAAAGAAAAAAAACTTGCCTACTGGAGTTTTTACTGACTTTTATGAAATGAACTACCATAGAATAAAAGATATATTTTTATATCGAAACTTCCGCTACCGTTGTGAGTCGAAGGGTGTTTCTTTAGAAATGTTGATGTCCAAGTTCGTGCAAACGTTGCCCTATTAAGGTGATATTGGCTTGATTTACAACAGGTATTAGTATTGAAAATCGCCTTGGTGTAAAAATATGCTTTTTGTTCACCTTTAACATTCTGCTTTTCCTTATCCAAATTACTAGGATAAATGCTTTGCGGGAAAAATGCCCTTTATGTGTGGTTTACGTTTAATAAGACTAGTAAGGACCGTCAGAATTTCAGTCATAAGGTTTCGTGATTTTCGTTACCATTTTATGTCTTTAGACACTGTCATGTCTGTTTTCTTATAATTCATGCTGTTACTTAGGCAACCCCACCGCTATTGCTTACACTACTTCACCTTCAGAAGCCCTGAGCAATAAGTGCGCAGAACATATTTCTTCGAGTGAATCGGGGGTAGGGATTGCTTATAGGCCCCACCCCCGGCAGGGGATGGGAACAGGAAACGTCAGGTGACTTTGCGCTAAATTTCAGGGAAGTGGGGTTCGATTGGGTAAGGGTTAGCTTCAAGGTTAGGGCACGAAAATATTTACTCTTCCTGGAATTTAGTGCAAGACTGCTGGCGGGAGGGGGGGGCGGTAAAAAATTCCTACCGATTCTCACCCTATCGTCTACTTCGGCAGCGTCTATAGCCTAACTGTCGAGTAAAAAAAGGTGGAGCGTTCAGTGAGACAATTAAGCGACCTAGGCGTATGTTTACTGATCCCGGATGCGAATTCTGTCGCTGCGTCGTTTGCCGCAAATTCATACCTCAACCTGTCCCACCTGTTTGACTTGCACGTAGACGTCAGCCACGTTCTGTGCCAGTTTTCTGCCAAACCGCGATAACGACCCTGCAACTTGCTCTCACTGTCAAGAACGCGTCAAAGTGGCCGGCGATGCAGTCTGACACAGTTGCCGACTCAGGATTCTGTTTCCCTGTGCGCGTGCTGAAACCTGTTAATAGTTTTGTCTATTCACTGCACCAGTCATCACGCGCTCGGACATGCACGTATCTTCAAGAGTGCCAACTTCCAACAGCCATGGTCTCCTTCGGTTACAGCACCGTGAGAGTTTACAACTCCCCCCTGCGGGTGTGTCCTTATAATACTGTCCATTTTAAGGGCTCCACCCCAACTAACAACGCTTACAGATGTTTGCAGCCGACTGTGACAAAATTCTCATAGGCCGAACATAGCCATTTACTGCCAAACGTCTATTGTAGGTGCAGATGTCCTCGCCCAGCTCGCCCACAAATCCGTATAAATTCGCGGCATATGGTCTTTATAACCGCAAAACAATCCAGGTCCAAAGGCTTGCGTGTTTATGTGGTTTCGTTTCCGCAGTTGGGTACTCGGTCTTAGTTCGGTCTGGAGTGCGCACTAAACAGCGGGGTCATAAATCAAACTGGAAATGATATGGCAAATTTATCTGCTGGCCGGAAGGATATTATTCCAACTAAATTAATCTGTTTATTCTTGCGATCAATCGACCTTATTATTTGTTTTTAAAGCGAATTCCTGCGATTGACTTTGTGATCTTTATCATACAGGTCGAAAGGTATTTTGGCGTGGCGAATTGGGGAAGAGGTTTTCGCCTAACAGAACTGATGCTAATAAGGGGTTTGCGCTGTAGTAATCGGCAATGTTCGCAATCAGGCCTGTCATGTTCTTTTGAACAGTTCTGCAATGACTGTTCAGTTAGGCTCTCACTCGACTCGACGACGCGATATAATTCCTATTCATGCGTCAAAGGTCCATCG